CAGTTGATCTTATCAAAAGTAAAGAGTTTGAAACTTCTTGTATTTTTTTTTTGGTTTCATGTAGTGTTTGATGTCGCAATTATTTTTAATTTATTTTTTCCTTTTTCTTACAAAGGATAATAATTTTAAAATTATTTTTATTTTCTTTACATTTTTTCTTTTTTTTGGTTGTTAATGTTGCAAATATCATCTTCATCCTCTGGAATCATGCATGAACGAAGGTAAGAATATGTCTTGGTATAATGGTCTATATGTAGATCTTTATTTCTGAGGAAATTTTCTCTTTAATGCAATATACGATTTTGTTAATTAGATTGAGGTTAGACTCACACTCATTATGAAATCTAGTTTTGGACAATATAAGGTTTTACAATAGATATTCACATTAGTCACTCCTAGAGAAATTTCTTTCATTTTAAAAGCTTTGTCAATGTGCTTATAAACCTAGTTTTTTAATAAATATAATTCATTGCATAAATTAAGTTAAAAAACTATTAGAGTTAATTTTGGATTGATTGAGATAAAAGCCAATTGGAATCCAGCCTAATTTCCTCTTGAGCTAGTCTTTAGGAGAACTTGTCAAACAGAACTCTTGATCCTATAAAACTAAGTCGAAGGGCGATCTCGACAACATCCTTTCGATGCTTAAGTCAATACTAATTTTGGGTAAGCTAAACTAGTTGAATAAGTCAAATTAGTCTAACGGGCCTATTTTTTTTCGGTGTATCTGAGTGTACCTGGGTGACCCTTTTTATAGCGGAGCTTGGGGGCTATTATACCGCTCAAGGTAGTTGCACTAGTTGATTATAATTATTCATAATAGACATTATATCGTTTGTCGATTAGTCATAATGTTTATATAAATATGAACTTGACACATGTCAGTCGATGGTGTATTCATATAGAGCTAAGATTATTGTTGGATAGCGCATAACGTTAGTGATGATGTGTTTGTGATATGACACAAATGGTAACATATCAACAATATGTGATGCTAGCGTGTCAACCATATCATATCCACTATAACATAAGCCCATCACTTCCTGGGCTAGGGAGTATCGTGAATTTGGGTTGAGAATTATTGTTCGCTTAAGGTTTGATTGTATAAGAGAACAGGGGATGTGACCCCGAATTTACCATGAAGTTGGCACGAGTCAATTTGCTCGACTTGGTCCTTAAGGTGAGTTTTCTACCAATCTAGTATACTAGTGATAGCGGTTGAAGTGAAAGAGCACAACCGATTGTGACAGCACGGTAAGGTGCATTAGGCAAGCGATAATGGCATAGTTTCAATGATTAATGGAGTCCTACATGATAGTCGAAGATTCAAGGCTTTCGACTCAATCCTTTCTTTCATCGGGCTCTTCATTGATCTAGTTTGCTAGTGATAGCAACGAAGTGGATGAGCATGATCTGTTGTGACATCGTGGTGAAGTGCATCAAGCAAGTGGCAATGGCATAGTTCTGATGATTACCGGAATCTTATGTGAGGGTTGAAGATCCAAGGTTTCAATGAATGATGATGTACTAGTTCAAGAAAACCAAGGTGACAATGTGCAAAGAATTGAGAAGCTAAGTTAAATAACATATTATGGGTTGAATGATCGGGCATGGAAGCACATGAAGGGCCATAGGGTCAAGTGTGGTGGTGCACAGAGAGCCAAAAGGTTGGGTGCAACGGTACGATAGAGTTAGGCAAATAAGCATGGGAGTGCATAAAAGGCCATAGGGCTGAGTACAGTAGCGCGATAAGGTCAGGTGATCAAGCACCATGATACATAAAGAGATAGAAGCCTCAATGTCATGGAGTGATAGGGTCAAAAGTGCAGGCATAAGGGCACACGAAGGCCCATGGGGCTAAGTGCAATGACATGATAGAGTCGGATAACTAAGCACGGTAGTACATAAAGAGCCAAAAGGTTAAGTGTGATGGTACGATAAGGTTAGATGAACAAGCATGGGGGTGCATGAAAGGTCATAGGGTGAGTGCAATGGCATGATAGGGCCAAGTGACTGAGCACAGTGACATACAAAGAGCCAGAAGGCTGGGTATAATGGTGTGATAGGGTCAAGGGAACATGTGCGAGGGCACACGAAGGGTCATGAGGCTAGGTGTAGTGGCATGATAAGGTCAAATAACCAAGCGTAGTGGCATATAAAGGGCCAAAAGGTTGGGAGCTATGGTATAATAGGGTCAAGCGAACAGGCGCAGGGGAACATGAAGGAGCCACAAGGCCAAGTGTAATGGCGTGTGTCACTAGTGTCATTATTATATGATAGCACGAGGGTCCAGCCAATGCACATATAGGGCACATTTCTCTATCGATGAGTAATAAAATATGAGCAGATCTAGATACAACTGTAGCATCGTACCTACCTACAACAAAGAGGGGCCATGGTGAAATAACCTATTGATGTGCCACCTTATGTAAATCATGATAGATTTGGTCATGATCACAGTGATGATTTGTTTGACCACTAGAGCCCTACAATGGTGTCACACATCCTAGGCCACACTGATGGTGCCATATGTCCTACTTTACTCAAAGCATTCAAGAGTCAAAGGGATGATCAGGCGAGTGAAACATCATCTTGACCTCCTATAAATACCTATCAGTTGCTTCAAGGATTTCTCACTTGTACTTGCAGTCAAAGACCTTGCAAATGAACTCTTAAGGCATCCCAGCTTCCTTGGCTCAGTGAAAACCTTCGACGTAGCTCAAACCCCCATAATATGCTTGAGAGTTTATCCACCTATGCTTCCTTAGCTCTTGAAATTCTCTTTTTAAGGCCATCTAATGTAGCTCGATTAGTTATATTGATATGATCATTAGCTTGTGGATGGTCTACTGAGATGAACTTAGGCGAATTTTGAAGTAATCATATAATTCTTTGAACTTAGCATTGTTGAATTGCATTCTATTATCTATGATTAGTACTTATGACACTCTAAACTAAGAGATGATGTTCTTTTAACCCTTCAACTTGCTTTTATGTGATTGATGCTAATATCTCGGTCTCGACCCACATAGTGAAGTAATCCACCCCGACTATCCGATATTTTCTTTATCCTCTGGCCAGTGGGAAAAACTCGAGAATATCTAATCCCCTTTGTGTCAAAGGCTAGGCCATATCAACGGGGGTTGACTCTACTACAAGTAGTCTCTGGACTCGGGCGTTACACTAATATCTTTTGCAGCTTCGGACATACTCTTTGGCATTATGCTTGAGGGTCGACCAATAATAATATTATAATAGGATCTTGAACGCCAAAGTTCATGCACCAATATGCTCCCCAAAGGCCCTATTATAGATCTTGGACAATACGTGAGCAACTTCATTGGGGTAGAGACAATACAACAAGGGATGTGATAACAATCATTTATAAAGCACCCCATATAGTATGTAATACCATGCCTGTTGCCTATGTATTTTTCTTGTCTTAGTTGGCTCATCGGGAAGGACCCTAATTTTTAGATATCTCATAGGATTCCCCATCTAAGTAGCCTCCAAGTCAATATTGACATCTGATTCTTATGTTTGTTTCTTTGGTACAAGACCTTCATGGTGATTCCTCTAGATGATGGAGGATGTTTTGCGATGTGTGATTAGGAAAGAGTATTTGTTGCCATGTTGTCTTTTCTTAAAATTTACTCAATGTTGAACATTAAGATATCGACCATTATTAGTTTTACCACCGCAATATATAATGTCATAGTGGAGTCACGAGCCTCATATGTGTCATTGATTTGGATAATAAATAGCTGAAGTCATTGTATATGTTTAAAGTCGGTATTCCCATGCCTTTAGTGAGTATTAGTCGTAACAAAAGGGTTATATTTTCTGTCTCATTGTTGGTAACCTAAAAGTTAAAATAGAGCGCATGCTCGTATACTTCCCCTTCTGAGCTTTTTAAGACAAGACCCACCCCTCCACTGTTTTGCATGGCCAATCCTTCTATGTATAAGGTCTAGCATTTAACATCTTCGAACATCTCCTCAATGAAGTTCATTTCTATCATAAAGTCGATGAGGGCCTGCAAAGGATGTTGGGCTTACAAAGGATCTAATGCATTAGCTGATTTGTTATGACAACGATATGATGAGCGTAAAAGTAAGATCAAAGTTTTTAGCTATTAGGTTCAACCCGTATATTAGATTTTCAAAATTAAGATATTGGGATTTCACGTCTTTGAGTATGTGATTAGTATAATACATAAGCCTTTAGATTCGTTGCTCTTCTTGAGTTAGAATCGAGGTTATGGCTACTAGGTTATGGATAGATATAAGTATAAATCCTCTTTTGAACTAGGGTTGAAAAATTGGGGAGGAATCACTAAATATCCTTTGAGTGTATTAATCTCCTTTTGATATTGCTATTGTGTGGAGAGTCGTCCCCCACCACCCTACCCGTTGACTCTCATCGTGCTCCTCTATAGCCCTACACAGGAGGGGGCATGAGAGTCACCTCTGCTGACCTTGCTGGTGCCTATTGAACCCATTGTCGCCTCTATGCATGCAGGGGAGGGTCCAACGAGTGTCAATAGGGTCCGTAGAGGTGACAGTGACCCTCGTCCCCCTTCTTTCCTTGCACCAGGCTCACAAGTGAGCACGACGAGAGTGACGCAAGAGCGAAGGCGACGACGATTTCAACGGAGGTAAGTGAGGTCCAACAAGGCTAGAAGTAAAATGATTATTTATATAAAAAAAATTTGTGCGATAAATTTTTAAAGTTGGGCATTCTAGATTTTTTTTTTTAAGTAGCCAGGAATTCGCCCTCAATAATATTTTTTTTTAATTTAAAAAAGTTTTTCCGTGACTGAACTCTCCCGCTTCTTCGGGCGATGATGGGTCCCCCGCTCGCAATGCGACAGCGGAACCTACCGGCCGCGACTCGTCCACCGGAGAAGCCGGCTAATGTTTCCTGTCAATATAAATTGACTCTGCCTGGAGAAGAAGCACAACAGCAATCTCTCTCTCTCTCTCTCTCTCTCTCTCCATAGCAGGCAAATCCCAGGTTTTTGAGTTATTCCATTTGTTTTTTGGCCGATCGCCGTATCCGAGCTTCTTCATTGTTGGCTCGTTTTCCCAATAGGAAGCCTAATCCGCGACGACCTTTACCGGTTATCGTCGTTGCTCAGATTCTTATATGGCTATGGCTGTCACATTGGGTTGTTCGCCTCGTTTCTTAGTGGGTTAATCCTTTTTCTTCTTCTTGATGCAGGCGTGCTCGGTTATGGCCTGCAAATTTAAGCATGTCTTTTGGTTTCTCCTTTTATTCTAGACGTGAACCTTGAGCGGAATTGCTGACGGTAGGAGAAGGTAGAGGGGAATTCCGGGATGGCGAATCTGGTGAAAGAGGAGAAGAAGAATGAGAAGATAATTCGAGGGCTTCTGAAGCTCCCTGCCAACCGGAGGTGTATCAATTGCAATAGTCTGGTAAGGTTGTTTACTTTTCCTGATCTGGACACACATAAAACATGTCGTGTAGTCAATTCTTGGATTTCAGGATCGAAATGATTTGACGCTGACCTAGATCTACAATATGGTTTGCCAATTTAGAGTGATTTGTCAAATGTGATATGGTATGAGCCCGATGGATGAAATGGCTACATTTGTTGGCATATTTTTCTGAGCCAGATGAAATTGTTCAGTTCTAAATGACAATGGGTGTAGCTGTTGTTAATTATTTATCTGCTATTGTACGTCTTATTGGAAGTTCTTTTTTGAAAAGAGTTTCCCGCAATCCATATTCCCATTAGTTTCTACAAACTCTACTTTTCTTTAGACTGGATGAATCATAGTCAATTGACTTCTTATCTTACTTCTAGGAGAATAAATGAAAAGTCAAGAAAAGATTACAAGTTATACCTGCATATAATTTGAATTCAAACCTTAGAATATTAGTGCTGGATTTATGCATAAGGAAATGCAAAGTATAAAGCATAGACTCAAAATATAACTAGTCGATAAAATGTAATATGTGAAACAATTGTTTCTCGAGATGAAAGTAAATCAAAGGTGTCCAAGACATGGAAGAAAATTATAATAATATCATGTAAATATGGATTAAGATGTAGAATAGATGCATTCAAAAAAATTGATCTAAATCACCACATCGATGTTCCTTACCATTATGAGGTTGGACAGACAATCATTAAAAAAAACTACCATTTCTTCTTTTTTCTTAAATTCAAGGATTGTATTTTATGTAGGATCTAGATTGACAAAAGAAGAATATGATCAGGAGATTATACATGAAATGAATGTGTACCTGAAATTGATGATCAAGAAATTTCAAGAAATAGAAGAAGTAAAACACAATTCAGAAGTTTGCATAATGATCAAGGAAGGAGATTTAAGGAGACAGTGTGAGATGTTGAACTAAAACAGAACATGTGGAAAATTGGGTGGACATTGGCTATTTTTCAATTAAAAGAAACATTTTCCAAAATAACATGGGTGCTGATTCAGACATACTCTATAATTTAGTGTAGGAAAGGTAATGATATCTATTTAGATATCTGATTGTACCATGAAAGATAGAATAGATGATGATTATAGCAAATATATTGAGAATAAATTGAAGAAAAATTGCCTATGATGTCTGGAAATGATCAAAGAAAATCTGCAAATGCATCAACAAGTTGAGGCAAGTAAATCCAAATTTGAGGTTGAACAGAAGTAGGAAGACCGAAGATGCATAGCAACAACAAAAGGTAACACTTCGATTATCTGGTTTTATATCAATTAATAATAGCATGAAATGGTCCATTCAGCTGAACCTAAATAGTTAGGCAGGTGCAATGTCTCTTCTTCTAGTTGTCATCATCATGTTGTGATCACTGTTACTATCGTTTCCCAATAATTGTTTCATAAGGTGATGCCTGGTTGTCTGCAATATGTCCTATACTCAAATAGGAGATATTCAGATAGACAGATAAAACTATTTTTATGGACTATGTGAAAAAATAAAAACCTGACTGTAACTGCAGGCAGTTTGGATGGGTAAGATACTAAAATGTGAAAAATGTAAAAATATTTCTACAGACTATGTCATTCAAGATATTGGACAACACAGATTTGATTTTTCGTGTTGATGTCATATGCAGAGAAATGTTGTTGATAGATCTTATGAAACCTTAACTTTTAGTGTGACCATTCTACATTTTGTATGTGCTCACATCATAATTAGTGCGACCAGTATACCCAAGATGAGTAAACATTAGCTGTTACACTCATACTGCTCTATTATTCGTCTAGAATGCTATATGTCAGGCAGCTACTGCAGTCTGGTATACACGGAAAACTCATGGATCTAATTATCTTCGAGCGGTCAGGCAGTCATTCCTTGGATCTTATTACCCAGAATTAGCTGCCACATTTTTGTTGCAAACCTTCTTTTAAATTGAGCAAGGGTGGACTGAAACATGTGTGCACTGTATCTTTCACTATTTTACTACAGCGCGCCCTTGAGTTTGCTATATATGCAGAGAGCATCAATGTATATCAAAGGACATGCTGCAACTTAGTTGCTTATTTCATCTTAGTATGAACTTAAGGTGTTCTACAAATTGGTTTCTTGATACTGTTCTTGTTAAGTTGCTTGTTATTAACATTTGTGAAGCTAACATAGAAACCTTGACAGGGGCCACAATATGTGTGCACAAATTTCTGGACCTTTGTCTGTACAAACTGTAGCGGAATACAGTAAGTATTATGCTACGTCATCATGGTGTTGTTCCTTCATCTGCATGTTAGCTGTTCCTAATATTAGCTTTATCATGAATGTTTTTTGTTTACCAGTCGGGAATTTACCCACCGAATTAAGTCCATATCTATGGCTAAATTTTCTTCGCAAGAAGTGGCAGCCCTTCAAGAAGGGGGAAACGAGGTACTACCATCTACGTCTGTTTCACTTTTGGAATATGTATTAATTTAGGGCTACTATTTTCAAGACTACTTGTGTGTGATTTCTGAACAGCGTGCCAGAGAACTTTACTTTAAGGACTGGGACCCACAACATCATTCATTTCCTCATAGCAGGTTACTGCTGGTTCTGTGTTTTGGTTCTTTAGTATTTTATCAGAAGGTAAAGTTGATTCCCTTGCTGTTATTTTGAGTTCCAGTAATATCGATAGACTCAGGGATTTCATTAAGAATGTTTACGTGTATCGGAGGTATACTGGGGAAAGTGTTGGAGACAGACCTCAGAAAATGAAGGTGTGATAACCAAGGAATTGTTGATTTGGATGATATGAAATTTGCTGGAAGTCCTTTCTCAGTTCTCTGTTTAGTATAATGGTTTTGTGTTTGTTCTCTTGCAGGATAAAAGGGATAACTATAATGAAAACCAGAAAGCAGAATCATATAAAAGTGGATTGAGAAGCCCACCATATGAAGATCGATATAGTCCTAGTGGTAGAAATAGTGATCGTATTTTCAGATATAACTATGGAGAAAGAAGTCCTGGATATGATCAAGGTAAATACAAGAGAAGTCCAGCTTATTTTGAGGTGGTAGATGACAGGCGTAGAGATAATAAAGTTGGAAATGTAAGACAAAACAGAAGACTTGAAGCCCCTAGGTTTCTGGAAGCACCAAATCCAGAGGGGAAATCACCAGATCATCAGAAAAATGTTAATAAGTCGAGTGACCCAGTGGTGAACCAAGCGAAGGATACCTCGGTTGATGATATACCACCACTTAAGATTGGTGAAACAGCTATATCTATGGTTACTGATGATTCTACACAAATGGTCCCTGATGATTCTACACAAATGGAGGTGGGTTTTTATACTGTTTTATTTTGTTGATTGCTACTTGTGTCTATGGTTACTGCCAAATGGATTTTGTTTCATGCAATTCATGCTTAGTACCTATGATATACGTGTCGCAGGACCTTTTCTATTTGATAAGTAACAAAATACCAGAGGTTATCTTTTTTTCTTTGAACTTGCAAAACTGTCATTCTGATGCTGAATAGTTCCAATTTGTCTGTCAAAGCAGACAACATTTGTTGGCAGGGCAGCCCAACAGGGCCTCTACCGGTGCTGGGTCTGCAAGGATAAATGTAAGATTTTAAATACCAGTAAAATACTGGTTTTAGTAATATATCAAACCAGTGGTATACTGACCTGTACCTATTGGTGTCATTGTAAAACATTACAAAAAATAAAAATTAATTGAATGGTATTGAGCTATATGTTTTGATGCTGATACATATTCAGAAAAGTAAATATCGATTAGTACATGCTGGTCTAATAGAGAGGTTATTGTGGTGTCTTAAACCCTGGTGAATCAGTATAAAGGAGCAACCAAAACATGACATCAAGCCTCACCCTCTGAACTGTCGAAAAGGAACATGACCATTTTTTGGATTTTTAATTTAGAGAAAGTACTCCTTGTGTTGATGATTGAGGTTGTTATACGGACATTGTTGGAATTCAAACTTAACAATATTTAAAAAAAAAAGCACCATAACTTGATATACATATACCATACAAATTAAGCAATAAGTCATAAGTTAATTATATGATGTAATTAAGGGAAAATACCAAAAATTGCATAGATAGGTTCATAGAGCTGTGTCGAATTGATGATACTCCTGTGCAGTTCATGCAGCTACACATATATGGAAAAGTACTACAAATCCAAAGGTAGGCTGATGGACTTCTTTTGGTACATGTTATGAAATGTAGTTCATGTGAAGGCCAATTATGTATAGCTTTTTCTTTGTTGCCTCAAATAAGGCCTAGGGAACATCACTAAACTCTATGGCTATTTAATTGCTAATTTGTCATCTAAGCACATACATAAATGAGCTCCTAAGAGCCTTAAAATGAGGGTGTGTTGCCACATGTAAAATCTTGTTTGGTATATATCAACTATATATATTTATCTTAAGATGCTAATCATTAAGAATTAAGAAATCTATTTGTTTATTTATTATAGCCATAAATAGATTATGAGTTTGTTTTATCTGGAAACCTATATGTGAGTCATTCATCATCATTGTTTGCAGAGTAATTTATCTTCAAGCAGCATATGCTCCGCTGATGCAAATTCAGTACAGTTGAAAGGATCGTACTTTGAAAGTCTGATGGATTTAATTGTGGATCCGAATCTTCCTGTTGCTACAACAGAAGAACAAGCAGTTCCTCAACAAACTACCTCTGATACTGATGATGGTGGAAATTCATCAGCTTCTGATATTTCAGGTCAGCAAAAAGTAAGTCAAGTAGCTCCAGATGCAAACCCATTAGTATCTGTTCTTGGTCAGTTATCAGTTTCAGAACCTGCAGCTAAAGAAAATGTATCAACTGTATCTGTTTCTGGTATTGATTCCTCTCCCAAAGCCAGTGGTGGAGAAAACCTGCCCACAATTCACCAGGAACAACTGTCATTACTTAAATCCACTGGTAGTCCCAGTAATCAGCCATCCAATGTACCTGCTGTTGGAACTTCAAATGACCAGGTAAAGGACTTTGATTTTCATGTTCATCTCATAGGTTTTTATAATGTTTCATCTTGTGCATACTTCTTTTCAGACTTCGATGTCATCAGTGGCACCACACGAGCAAGGATCTTTCACTGCCGCATCTATCAACCCATCTGGCCATCTACCTCAGATAACCACTAAGTCATCTCAAGAAACAAATGCTGGAATTTCTTCACAACCAACTTCTGCAGGGAGTACACATGGTGGAAGGAAAGAACTACCAGCGGTATCTTATTAATATATTTTATTGCTGATTTTTTTTCAGTGTTGCCATATTTCCTCATGAATATTAATGTTTGCAGGATTTTTTCACTTCTCTTTATCCAACTACACCTCTATCAGCTCCAGGTTGGCAAAGAGGGCCATATCCTGGCATAGGGTATAACATGCAATTTCCTACTAGAGTGGTATATACTTTTACTTTAACACACATATTATCATATTCATCTGATTCATATTTTTCAATCTTTTGAGGCTATCTTTGAAATATTTTTTTCCTTTAGACTGCGGCTACATACACACAGACTTCAAAGTCTGTGAACCCATTTGATCTTACTAGTGATCCAGCTCCAACGGTATGATAGTTCTCTCTTGCTGTCGAACAATTATATGTGACCTACATATTCAGTATCTAGTTAAAAAAATTAACTTTTATCTGGCATGAGAAGCAATACCTCACTAGCTTGATGTTTGTCTATAAGTGGAATCATTTGAATTTTGAAGTTCCCTTACGTTTGTTTTCTTGGAACATGAACACTTCTCACTTTTTGTTTCATATAAGGTTTTTCCCTTTATAGATATACCCTACAGAGTTCATAAGAACTAGTTGTACGTTTTTTTTCTTGTTAAGGAAAATATTTATACAGTGATGTTAGTGTAAAAAATTCTAGAAGATCTATTTTTTGGAAGATCATATTTCAGCAGTCAATTGTAATGATTGACGCATCCAAAACCTGCAGTTGAAAAACACTAGTTCGTTGTGTTACTAATAGAAGCAGAAAGTTTGCTCAAGTAAACATGATGTCTGTTTAATATCAGTCTCTCTTAAAAGAACCATTTCATAAGAAATTTTTAGTGGCTGATATATTGGGCAAATCAGTTGTGATGAAGATTGTGTCTGCTCCACATTTTCTCTGCTTTAAACTTTAGAATGTTGCCTCTCCTCTCTCTCTCTCTCTTCTCTTCTCTCTGTGCATCCTTTTTTTTTAGGAATTTTCCTTTTTTGGATGTTGTAGAATATCTCTATAACTTACAAGTGTTGTTGGACAGATTTCTTGGGGCTTTCTGGATCCTTCTCTAATTATGCCTTCATGATCTTATAATGTAAATAGTCCTAAGATAATTTTGATAGATTTGGCAACCTAACAGAAGCAGATTTTCACAGATTTTTTTTCTCTTTTACTCTCTTATTAGTACTTTTTTATTTGATAGATTACAACATTTAGTAGTTTAAGCACATCAATTATCAGATATTCAGAACTGAGCTAGAAGAATCTTAAATTATCAACAAAATTTGGTATCCATTTGCTTGTTGGATCCATATTTGAATATTGACGTAGAAGGTTGCATATTTTGCTACATAGATCGGACAATATGATGTTGATTATCTTAGTTATGTTGCATTTATTTTAAATGCTTCCTATACAGTAGCTGTCATATGATTACGACCTTTCAGTGGTTTTCTTCTTTCATGATATAGTTCCCATCAGTGACACCTCAGCAAGTGCCATTACCAAACATGACTTCCCCACTCGCTTTAATTCGAACTTCTAGTTTTGGAGCCCCTTCCCCACGATGGAATCCCTCAGAACACTTGCCCTATGCAACAAGTGTCTCTCCAGGTAAAAATATGTGATGCCCCTCAGGTTTTATATCCATTGAAATACTTGCAAACAGATATGTTCTGGCGTCACTAATTAAAAATTCAAACTTCAGGTACCTTCATGATGCATCAAGTTCCAAACAACATGCCTCGTGAACTAGCCATGATGTCAGTGGGGTAAGTCTTCTAATGAGATATAATGGCTACTTTGCCGATTTTATATTTTTTGGAAGCAATATAGCCTTTGATTATTTTTAGTGATAACATTATTGTTATTAAGATGGAAATCAATTGCTTTGTTTCCCTGATAATTATATAAAAATTCAGGTATTTGCCCTCTGAGTGGGTTAATATATTTCTTAATATAACTTTTACACTTTTTCTCCCATTATTGCTTGCTGCCACTGAGCTAAAATAAAAACTATATATAGTATTTAGTAAGAAGCTGCTCTTGTGTCATCAGATCTTCCCATTTTCTTTGAAGATGAGAAAAGAGCAAGAGAAAGAAATCTTCTGTTGGATGAATCTCATTTCCCTGCTCCAATTGCTTTTTCCCCTAGAAACAATGGTTTTGATTAAAAGTAATATCTGATAGTGATCTCAGATACATGGTTCATACTTAATGACCTGCAAAAAAAATTTTCTAAGAAAGGAACTTAATATCATCATCAAAATTTAATATTCTTAAGCCAATAAGACCGAACATATTAAAACTAGTTATCATGTTTGAAAGCTTAATCAAGTTCCCTTAGGTGAAATACCATCGGAAACAAAAGAGCTTTTGTCACCTGCTACTCAATTAACTTGTGTTTCTGTGTAATATTGCATATGCTATTATTTACAGAAAAGGACTGACTTTTACAGACATTAATGGACGCTTTATGCATCTCATTGCAGTAATCAAGGCGGATTAGGTACTGACAACAGAGGAACTGATTGTGGTACTTCAGGTATCCATCAACAGCCAGCTATCAGCTACGCCCAAGCAAGTACTCCGAATTCTGTCAATCCTGTTGGGGGCAATCCATTTGGATGAACATGATAACGGTAGATATGGCCCGTTGACAAAATCATGCCCTTTGTTTGCTACTAAAACTAAAGCATTACAGAAATCTCGCTCCAGCTTTGTTATGAAACTAGCAACCATGTGAAGAAGTATTGCAGTCTGTGGCTTCCATGGTAAGACCCCAAATACAAACATAAATACATACATGCATATATTTGTTTTCTGCAAAACTAGAATAAAGGGGGAAAGTGTGATTGGTTTCTGATTTTGGGGAAGGTGCATCAAGAAAATGAATCCAAGCATTCTGATATGTCTAATTATGGTTTATTGCTGCAAGATGGTTAATACATGTTTACCAGTTGTTGGCTAGTTTTCTTGACTGTTGGGTTCATGATGTTCTTGCCTCGTCTATCGTTTGACCACTTCCACTGTAAGTTTCCTTGTTTTCTAGCTTTCTGCGGAATTTATACTTTCATTTTCTTTTTTCTATATTATTTGGGAAATGTCAACAAGGCTAAAAGCTATTACCATTTTGTTTTAAGAGTAATCATAGTTTTGCTCGATTTATCCAAGTCAACAAATGCAGTGTTTACATGGCAGAAGTATTTTCTTCTTGAGCTATACATACAGTTCAAGTTTCACTTTGAAATCATCCGTAATGTTTGTTCTACCAACCCACAGAATTTTATGATACTGATATGAGCTGCTCATCCAGGCTAGTTGGATCAAAATTCTAATTCGTGGATTGCACAATATACAGATCTCCATGATGCTAACCTTTGTTTACAGCTTAAGTTTTGCAATGTGATTACTAGAAAAAGAAATAGTTCAAATATGAAATATATATATCTTAATCTTTTTAGTGTATACTGGTGATAAAGATGGTTAGAAATTAAAGTCGGATTATATATATTGGGTCTCCTCATAATTCTACAAACTTAGTTATAACGTAGTTATTTGTCCACATATGATTAGGTTATTGCACCAATTAAGATTTTGCATCTCCATGATAGAAATTTTGAACTGGACGACCAGTGACTACAAAAGCCTAAGCTTATGAAAAGACTCAATATATTTATGAATTCTAATATTTTTATCATGTGTGGGTTGACTTAGGTTTCATATGAAACCGAATCCAAGTAGATGGTGAAAGCCAAGAAAAAAGAGAATTGCACAAAATGAAGATAAATATAGAATTCAAATATATAATCTGATACGATGATAAAGATTTTGAATGGAATAATTGTCACTTCGACTTGTTCCGAATTTTGACAAAAAAAAAAGGCAGCAAAATTCAATAGGAGAGAGCTCACCTGATCAACATTTTCGCCTCGACAGCAAACACCAGCTGCTACATCAACCCCAAATACGCATGAACCAGTCAATAGCCTCCTATAGAAAATACTCACTCTTTCCCTTGTATGATTTGATTTAGATGACGATTTCTGTAGAACTTATCAACGGGAGCAAGCAACAACCATTTCTCCTCCATATTACTTCTCAAAGATCATGGCAATGATGAGCCAAGCTTAATGCCTGCTACCTACAATCACAACAAACACAATTTCTTACCTCAAACTTGTGTCGATAAAATAGGCTGGTGAACCAACTCCATGGATCGCATCAACCGCAGACTTCTTTCAAAGAATTCCTGATGTCCCCAACACCTTTATGCAAACTTGTTTCTCCACCAGCAGGTAATTTTTTGTAGTTGCAAGAAGTGGAGGAAACGAAAAAACCAAACAGATCCTCGCTGTTTGACATTGGCCTCCACCTCATCTGAATCAATGTCCAGTAAAATTTTGTTAGGAGACACATAAGCGTGAAGAATGAAATAGGTAGGAATCAGGTACATGTGTTTTAACTGACCCAGCATCCAACGACATCCTGCTTGAATGATCGTACAACACCGAACCATCAAAAGCTACCAAACGTTTAGGTCGCTAACTTCTATCAACATCTTGCTTTTGCATTCTTAATATCGAAGAGAATACATCATCTGGTTCATCAACCAAGAGACTGACTGTGCCTATTGTACTGATGAATTGACAAGTCTAACTAGCCACAAAGTCAGATACAAGTCAAACAGATCTCAGAATCATTTTCCAATGATTACTCCGAAATGTAAGCTTAGCTAGATGGACTGTTATAGTTGACAAACATGTGAATCAATGAACCTTCTTGATGGCAATATGGATGATGAAAAACCCCATACTATAAATCTCCAACTTAGCAATGGACATGGTACGCCAATGAATACCAGTTGCGCTCTAGCAAACTAGCATGCTCATCCTCTGTAGGGCCTGGCAATTCTGGAATTGAAGACCAATAAATCTGCATGCAACAAGTGTGTTTAATGCACAAAAAGAACAGGGACCATTCCTCCGCTTGTTGGGATCCAAGCAACCCGACAACATATATTTCAACTGCCTACTAATAATAATTGAACTCTAGATCTCGTTGCCAATTTAAGGGGTGTACAATTTATAGAGCCAGAAAGTTAAAAAGGCATAAACTAGATGCCTCCACTCCACTAAAAGCATTTTGTTTTTGAGTGTAGCACACTTCTTCAAAGATCAATAATTGCCAACTTAAGGAGGATCATTGAACCAAGACATTTTGTTAAGCTTAACAAGTATAACCCTATATTTAAGCATATTTTATGCTATAATAGGCAGCACAAAATACAGGAAAAAGATGGTGAAAGCTAGTTTTAGGCTGAATCTAATACAAGTGTCAAGCACGAAAAAGAAAAAGAAACATGGAAATTTGCTGGTATGGTGATAACATTGGTGCTAAGCTAATTCAGTGAATCTCACTCATGAACAAGGGATAATGGAATTTTGGCGAAAAGTGAAAACAGGCTATAGTCACTCAACCATAGGCGGGCGTAATCCTTAAGACTCGTCTTAGTTAGGATTCACAAGTACAACCGTAAACGTAATAGTAAAACACGGTTAGGTTTTACGATGAATCAATTACTCCAATATCAAGGTAAGAAATGGAGGAAAAAAGCATGGAAATTGGTTGGTGCTAAAACTAAAGTAAAAAAAGAAAGCTTTTTGTTTCATAGTCTACCAAATTGGGGCGTGAACGAATGATTTCTTAAACTGCCTTGAACGGGAACAAAGGCTCGGTACCCAAAATCATCACCTTTTGGCTCGAATGATCACGATGTACTTAAAAGTATAGTGTACTCCGTAAAAGAAGAAGAACTGCCAGAAAAGATTACAAAAAATTAATTTCAATTTACAAGAAAAGAACTGGAACGAGAAAAAGGAAACCGAACAACACGAATCACGAACGGGAAACAACAAAGAGAAAACCACAAAAACTCAAGAGTTAGGCGTTGCATCAAACAGTGGAGATCAAAAGAAAAAAAAATAAAAACAGCAACCTAAATACAAACTTATAATCCGCGGGAAAGGGCACCCGATCCGTACCTGTACACAATCGTTAGCGTGGTAAATTATTCGCCGACGAAGAACCCTAATCTCTAAAAGAGGGGCGGAACCTCGAACTCCTTCCGAAACGATTGATTGAGTTGCGTGTGTGTGTGCGCGTGACAGAAAGAGAGAGAGAGAGAGAGAGATTTGAGATTTCCGCCTTTCCGTTCCCTCCCAAATGCTGTGGTGTTCGGCATAGCGACTTCCACGTGAGTCGTATTACTAAAAGACTGTGCGACGAAAAGTGACTAATTACATATTATTCATAGTTAATCTATCTATTTAAAAAAAATTATATTAAAATTTTATAATTATAAAAATAAAATATATAAATTTATTTTTGATAATATCATCAATTTTATCAATGAAAATATAAAAATAAAAAGATAATTTTAACATCATAGTTGATGGTAACAGATAGTGTCAATGGTGGCGGACGACGACATAAGTAGAAGCTACGAGTGATTATTGTGGATGAGAAGAACAACAATGAGATGTGAGGGTCGCTCTATATCTACATCGACGTCAATGCACATACAGAACAGTCCTCGTCTCTTGTCGTCGTTCTCCTCATCCACGATAGTTACCCATGACCCTTAACGACATCGTTATCCGCCATCACTGACGTCACCCGCTACCACCAATTGAAATATTAGAACTATCTTTTTTATCTTTTATTTTCGTGATTCCATCGGTAAAATCAATAACGTCAAGATAAATCGATTTAGATATTTTTATTTTTATAATTATAGATATTTTAATGTAAATTTTTAAGGTGTAAAGATCGAAATATCTAATCAAGCACTTAACTCGAGTTCCAACTAAAAAAAAAAAAAGCAAACCTAACTTTATATTTTTCTTGTGCATAATATCCTTTTTTTTATTTATTTTTGTGAGAGCGCCCTTATTTTTTTTTTAAATAAAAATTATGTTTTAACTTTGTCCCATCAATCACGCTGATTGAACCCTCGCCATCTTTAAGGAGGGCACCCTCAATCTCCTCACATTAAAGGAGCACGTTCCCATCCACTTCTATCCCTCACTACCGTTCGTTCAAGAGAGCAATATAGCTAAAAGAGAAAGGGTGTTGTAAGGAAGGAGAGAGGGGAAGCCGATCGTGATTGTTATAAGGTCGATAAGGATGGCAGAGCAAAAGCAAAAGAAAGCAAAAAGGGAAACTCCAAAAAAACACACACATTGACTCAAAAATCATCCAACACTAGATAAAAATCAATGGTAATTATTTCACTCGCGATCAATGACTAGCTTTTGAAAAGACATATAATATTTATGACATACTAATTATAATTTGCTAGATTAGACAATTATTTACATGGGCAAGAATGAATGGAACCATAATTTTCATGATCTAAGTTCTCAAAAATTATTGTAACATGATTCTATCTGTCTCATGTGAAAGCTGATCAGATCCACAACAGCACTGGAAGTTGAAGCTCAGAAGATTCAGCATGTCATTGGGAGTTCTTAGTCGATGAATCTGTTGTTGACAAACTTGATCCTTCAAGTGTCATGCAACACAATCTTAAACAGTAAATATAATCAACTACAATGTCCAAAAACACAATTACACGAGTCTTTCTCTGCTCTTTTTCCTTTTCTCCTTTCATTTTCCAGAAGAAAGCAATGAATCTAGATGTTACCAACAATATGTGGGATAATATATCTTCTTTATATTTGTTATTTTCGGGGTGAATATTCAGATTCGAGTTCTTTCCCAAGCTGCTTGGCTTCTGTTTTTGCTGTCAGTATAACATCATCAATGAAGCTTCTCTGAGGAAATTCATCAGGCAGAAGGCTTCGATATATTTCAAACTGTTCGTCGGCTTCCTTCGTTTTGTCTAATAAACTGTAGATGACACCCTGCACGCATAATGCAAATATAGGTCAGCATGAGACATTGCAGCCATGATGATGGTAAGCTAGTTTCTTGCAATGAGGTTAACAAGTAAAACAGTCATTATTTATGATGGCAAAAGTTAAATGGAGCTAGGGCCCGGATCTCCCAAGCTGCAAAACTTAAAGAGAAAAATCATAAAACGAGCAAAACCAAACAACAAGTTTTGGATATGTGATGCTAGCACATTGATAAACCTAAAGCATACCATGATGAGATGCAGAAAGGCTGTAAGTTACACAACCACATGACATGAAGAACTTGAAGATGCCACTTGTGGCTACAAAGATGTAGATTTCATGGAAAAGTCAAAACCAGCAACCATGAAGCATGCACATAAATTTGAGCAAGAATATCAAACATTAGTCTTCCAGATACGGTCGCCACAATTGGATGCAACTAATAGTTACAGACTACAACAGAAAGATATCCAATGAGAAACTATACCTGGCAGAGGTACGGTCGAAAGTCACGAGGATCCTCATTGACAAGATCTTGAAAATGCTGAGAAGCACCTTCTAGGTCACCCTGAATGACAAAATATAAGCCTTGACACTAAGGATAAACTACTGGTCGCTGACACATATATATATTTGCAAGATGACGACCACAAAATAAATTTCAGGGGGAATTGGTAAAAGTTAGTACCACTATGGCATGCATTTGTGCAATCAGGATCTTTATATTCCGCTGGTCAGTGACTCTGTTCTCACGACGTGCAAGATCTAAAGCTTTATGCAGCATCTCAAAAGCAGTTGCACTTTCACGACTCTTGTGCATGGCTAAGGCAAGACCCTAACATGGAAGAGCTGCACGTTTTAGATCCTGAAGCATTTCTTTAAGAAACAAGAAAAGATTAAATGTGATATTTCTGTTGACTTTTCTTAGCGGCACTTTATTAGAAGGACAAAGCAATTTAATACAACACAAAACTAGTATAAAGAGGGCTTTTAGCACACAGAGTATAATCAGTAAATTTCATAATTTTATATGAATTCAAAAGTCAAAACTACTAAAAAGTTGGTTACCTCCCAGTTGAAGGCACATCTCAGCAATGTACTTTCATGAAAGCTCAAGAAAACAGAGGGGATCTAATATGTTAAATCATTAAGTCTCATGAACCATAGAGCTATATAGGTTGCAACTCTATGAGAAAACATAAGGACACAGTGATCTCCTAGGCAACTGGAAACCTACATGACGACAATCTATGCACTCAAAGATATCTATATCGAAGGTTCTAAAAATAACTTGATCCAAATTAGATCGATCGAATACATATTGTGGACAAAGATCAATTGAACCCACTGTTGGAACCCTCATCTTTTCTAGATCTTCCGGTGTAGGGTTCATGAGATCAGTAAGAGTCTGCTGCAATAAGCCTATCTCAAGTGAATCAACCCAGACAGACCAATCTATGACATCTAAGAATCAGGAGATGAAAGAAGATGAACAAAGAAAAAAAAAGAAGAAAGCTGAGGAAAAAGCTAAATTTGCTGATTGATTAAATGTTCAAACACATACAATGAAGAAAAACAAAACAATTTTTACACCCTAAGTTCAGTACATATGTCAATTTTTTTACTGGTTACGTTGACCATGCAGTGCATGCAGGCTTAGGTTTTATTTTCTCTTTACCTTGTATCTTTATCTTCAATCTAATTTGCTGTTTCACTGTAGTTTCTCGAAATGATTCATGGATTAGATGTTGAACCATACCCCAACCTTGGCCGATCCTGTTGATCCAGATCCCCACTTCAGGAACTAGTGTACATCCCTTGAAAGCTGCTGGCAGTCATATAACTAAGTCTACATGTAGAACCCCCACAAAGAATCACAATCTACAATCAGATTGAATTTCAAACAAAGATAATTTTATATTTCAATGCACAAGATATTCATGAACTCCTATTTGGACCCGATTTGCCAATCTCTTTGCATTTGATAGCTGATTCTTGCAGGTCAAACAATCAAAATTTCTTATTCAAGGAGGAAGCAAGTATTTATTGAAGTAACACATAAAAGAACAAAATTTTTTAAACTCAAACCAGGGCCACAAGGAAGGGGCATGAGAACATGATATAGATGTGCATCCAGTTGTCCAATTTGATAAGACAAAAAATGGGGATTTGGGCAAACGAATATTACAAAGCAACATGATGCGTATGTTGCAGCCTTACAAGAACTCAAATATGGAAATTTAAATTCATAAAAACTTTAAAATCATAAAAAGATCTACTCTATGAATTTCTATTGTTGTTTGGCATAGTATAATCAATAGTTGGACAAATGCCCGATTTGCAAATTAGCAAATATGTATCCAACATCTCATGAGTTTGGATATGAGGAGTTCTTAAAAAAAAACACCTTCTGCCAGATTACCAAATGGAACAAAAGCCTGTTGGGTGGTTTCAGAATCACTCTATGAAAAAGCATCTTATCCTACATCATGAATCTTACACGGGTATCTGTAACCTGCATACAAATGCTAATACTCAGCAAGCAAATTACAAATAAAATTATTGCATGTCTTTGATCTCTTAAACCTAATATTTCACCGAGGGGTCTCTTATAATCTGTTGATGGTTGCTAGTACACAGAATCACAAAGTATTACTTTTATGAAGAAAAGAAGGGAACTTATGAAGCATCACCTTTTGGAAATGCAATAACCAAATACAAAAATAGTTTGAATGAAACAGATGGATGAAAATTTTATTGCCTTGTACAGGTCCTCAAAAGCTTACAACCTGAACCATACACCGAATCGAACAATTCGGATATAGAATAACAAACTCAAACCTACTATCGAAGGGTCAGGTTTGGATAACAACTAGATCAACCAAAAATCAACCTACTTCAAATTCAACACAAACTTCCTGAATTGTCATCCTATTCATAGCATTGGCAGCCTCTGAGAAATGAAATTTAATGTTATTAACCATTAATACCTTAGCCATAGGATACTTCTAAATGAACCTGAATTCAACCAACCTAATTTGAACCCCGCCACAACTTAGTATGAGTTTCCATCCTATTCATAGCATTGGCAACCTCTAAGAAGTGAAAAAGTTGATCGGGCTATTCATGATACTTAATGAGTTAAAAAAATAGCTTACATGCAAAGCTCTAATCAAGAGAGGCCTCTCCTTCAATATATCCTTGAAAAGTCTCTTAGCCTTGTCCAGCTTTCCCATCAACTCATAGCACAGACCCTGCAACAGCCTCCATTCCACGTCATCCGGCTCCAACTCGATCAGCCGCTCCACGAGTCTCACCGCCTCCTCTCTCTTCCCCTTCTTCAACTTACCATACAAAACCACCTTCAGCGCTTCCACGTCCTTTGGGTTCTTCTGCAACACCCTGGCGTACATCTCTACCTCATCCTCTCCCGACGCATCGATCTTCTCCTCCAACGGCGCCGAAAAATTGCTCCTTTGGGCACCATCCAGCGCCAAAGCAGACCGCGTACCCAGTCTCCCGAGGAAGACAAGCGAGCCGATAAGCAAGACGGCGGCTCCGCCAGCGATCCTTCTCAAGAAGTTCGCATTTCGACGGCTGAGTGGGGGGATTTGGGGTGTCCGGGAGCACAAAATCTTGGGGAGATGTGGGACGAGCCGATCCGAGGCTAGGGTTTTGGTGGAGAGAGGGAAGGGCTGAAGGAGGCGAGGAGGAGCTATGGTGGAGGTTAGGATTCTTGTCGAGTCGATCCGAAGTCCTAAATTGGAGGGTCTTTGGTGGAATTGAAGGGCGGAGAGTATGGCGGAATGGAGGCTCGCCATGGAAGAGTTCCTGCTCAAAAACCGCGGCTTAAACCCTCTCTGGCATCCGGCGAGAACGAAAAGCGCCCGTCCACAATATCGTGATTATTATATTGTGAACCATAATAATTTTTTAATATTTTTTTTACTTCTCCTATCTACCCAAGTCCTCTTATATCGTGATTAAGGTTGCCTAAATTTTTCGATTATTCTATTATATAATTATGTTTTAAAATATTTTTAATTAAACATATGGTTTCACCAATCGAAGCTTGAGGAAATCTATGATCGATCCGAGTTTGATACCGTGTATATGAAAATTTGTACACTAACTTTTAAATTGAGAGACCGATATAATTATTATCTTAAATTCGAGTCCGCACATCATGTAAAGAAAATTGATCGAACAATTCAAAACATATTGAATCTGACAATTCCAAACATTTTAGAGAGTAATTGGTTAATCAAATCGATACCACAACCACATGGTATTAAGACTTGAAACTCCAATTCAGTTAAGACAATAGCTTTCAGTTAAAGTAGAGAGTCAGACCATATAGGTATGTATTCCCACAAAGGTTATGAATGCTCTTGAATCAAATAAACTAACCAATAGAACAAAAAGATGCAGCATTTATGACTTATGAAATGACTAAGAGGTCTGTAAAAACCATCTAGAATTTGATCAGATAACAACACAACCATAATCAAGGGTGAAATAAGAAGCATCACTGAGGCAAGCACAAGAGTAAAGCATTCGTGCTAAATAGACCAAGTGTGAGGAGCCCTAATCAACCCAGAAACCAAATCAACCCAGACACCAAAATATTGTGTCCGATAAGACAGCCATCTAAACCAATCTTCCTGAAAATCTTCAGCTGAATTTCAACAGCAGACCTTTTGATTGATACTCCATTCTTGATAAAACTTCCAACTGCAACTGGTCCATACAGTGAGTTATTAAGCCTACACCGAAGCTCATGCCACATGCAGTTAGCGATGACGAAATGCTTCAAAGAAATGTTTATAAAATTTGCTAATTGAATGAAATTACCAGTAAGGAAATACATTTTAACACAAAATTGTACTAGCGTTGAAGAAAAGACAAATTTTCCAGATATATCTCTGCAATCTTTAAATTTTCAGCTGTACTGGTATTAGCATAAAAGTTAGGGATGTGGTCAAGCTGCTTTATTTGTTGTACATTTCAGGCTTGAGCACACCAACATAAGGCAAGTTCCTGTAAAGCTCATCATAATCCATGCCATAACCCACGACAAAGCTATCTGGGCACTGCAACAAGGAAATTGAAAAGTAGTGTCACAGTTCGTGTGATGACATCATGAATGCTTCCAAAGAAGCTTGAATCTATGAAGTGATACAATTTGCAGGAAGCAATTATCTAAAGAAATAGCACTAAACTATATGCATGTTAGTAGCATCAAAGTTCAGTGAAAGACAGCACTTATAAAAAAAATTAGTGCTAAAAGATGAATCATGATAACAAACTCAATAGCCATCTGATCATTACAAAGTAAACTAGTAAATGCTAATGCTGTGACATGACTGCATGAAGATCACATGTTACCTATATACATAGACAGAAGTCATCGTACAACAAAAATATTTATGAACAAAATTTTATTACTGATATTATATAAAGCAAGCCACTCACCTCAAACCCCCTATAGAATTTTCCCCCTCCAACAAGCTCGAAATGAACTTTCCTTCTTGCAGGTTTATCAAGAAAAGTACAAACCGACACAGAGATAGCGCCTTTGGTTCTCAAATGTGGAATGAGACAGGAAACAGTATTTCCTGTGTCTACAATATCCTCGACCTACAAAATATTACATCTGATAAGGAAACCACCAAAGAACATGCAAGGTTTTTCCTGATTAAAAAAAAACAAAAAGAACATTTTAAGAGTACAACCAGATAATTTTGGAAAGAAACTCTACTGGAACATTTTAGGAACAAAAACATCCAATACCTCTCATGGCTAAGTATATGGATGAGCAGACCACCTAATATTTCTTATATGAGATGTAGGATAGCTCAGTAAGAAAAGAGCTCATTAAGTAGACAGGGAACAAGATAAGCTAACAAACTCGCAGCAGTATGCGCTACATGCCAAGTATAACATCTTGCGTGTTGCATTCGTGCCCATAGCAAAAATTTGTAGAATCTGTTGTGGGTCAAATTCAAACCTAAAAAAATATTGCACTAAAAGCTGGGTTTTGTTAGGAAGAAACAAAAGCTCCTTACTGTGCAAATTAAACAAAGTGTCTAGCTTATGTCATGAGAATTTTAGAAGTCACAATGTCCTTGTCCGGGAGAAACCTCGATCCTTGATTGTTACTACAACTGCACTACGGTACTGAAAAACAAAGAAGTGAACTTTTTAAACCAATCTCATCCCAATAATGAATTCCAATATGACCTATTCTAAGGCCTCCTATTTCACAATGGAGTTTGTAAGTAACCTAGGATGAAGCGATAGTGTGCGAGAAGCCTTCACCTTTTCATTTCAACTGGGCAGTGGTGCAAACAATATTAAAATAAAGTAGCTTTGCATTTTAGAACAACTCTTGAAAGGCCAACATCAGCCAAAATCTAGTCTCGAAATTGAGGAGAAGCTTCATAAATTCCTGCGAAAAACATGTTATGTATGTCAATAAGTATATTATTTTGGCTCTTGAATTTCTTTACATAAGGAAACAAAGCTCCAATAGTCCCGTTTATAATAGCTTCCTCAAAACAGGATTATGTGGGTATAGCACAAGTTTTATGTCCTTGCATCACAACCTATCAGATACTATTCATGAAAACCAAGTAAACATGCTCCTGCAACATAAGGCTGTATTTAAATCATAAAAAGGAAAAAAAAAAAAGGTCAGGCTTTAATTTAAATGTCTAATATGAGTTATATAAAGTTTCAACATGTTTCTCTAGCTTATGCCCTTTCTACCATCAACTAAATGGAAACACAGCCCAGCCGCATCTTCTGACTTCTGAGTTCAGGCTTCACTCATCGATCGGTATATCAGTATAAAAGTTTGCTCGGCCGTCAATATCACAGTATAATAAACCAAAAGGACTGAATTCGGATAGCAGTTAAATTATCTGGAAAAGGGAGCAAAGATAAAATTCAATAACCAAAGGAAGCCATTTCAACTATTCCAGTTAACGAACTAAACTCGAAAGGAATATTTGTTTGCAACCAAAACGAAGCATGAACCTTAAATGTAGCACATCTGCGTCCAGACTCAGTTCAGTGAACAAACACCCACAAAAGGACCATAAAAACAAGAATAAAATCCTCAACCATGCAACGAAATTAAGAATGAAACCGATCGGTACCAACACGACATGCTTTCCTCTAATATCGATCTTGAGGTCGCTGGAGATCTTCGGGGCGCCGTTGGACTCCGTACCGGACCCATACGACTCCACCCGGACGAAATCGACGGCCAACGGCAGGGTGATCCGCCTGACGAGGTCCGCAAGAAAGAGGAACGCACCGGTGGCAACGCCGACGAAGACAACGGGCGGCCCCGCCGCCCCGATGAGGTCGCCGGAGATCTCGGCGGCTAGCTCGGCGACGCGGCCCGCGATCTCCTGCTCCGTCCAAAGGATGCGCTCGATGTCGAACTCCGAACCCATCGGAGGCCGCAAGACTTCTAGGGTTAATCCTCGAGCTCGAATCCACAAACCCCTAACGCCGAACGAGACGTCGCAGGAGTATTTATGCGTGTCACGGTCATATGTGCATTTATATAGGGGGATTTAATGGGAAATTAAACTTAGTTGCTTTTGATCATCTAATATATTTACAAAAATCCTTAATGTTGATAATTAATTATCATAAAATAGAATATACGATATTAATGATTCTATAAAAGTTTAAATTAGTTTAATAGAATTTGATTGGACTAAAAAAAGCTACATTTTATTACATTATCGATTCAAATAATCTTAATGTTAATAATTAATTATCATAACATATTATTTAAAAATTAAAAAATAATACTGATTATCTTACAATCATATCCTAATTATCTCATGAAATTTTGGATTGATTTAATATAAATTATTGATTTACACTCATAATTGAACTAAGTTATATTTGATAAAAAAAAAATTCTTTAAAAATCTCTCATTTTAATAATAAATTATCATAAAATATTAAAAATAGAAAAATATTATGTCAATGAACCATGTCCTAATATATTTATGAAAGTTTAGGTTAATTTAGTGAAAGATAACTAAATCACACTCAAAATTGAACTAGGTTATACTTCTATTAGTTCAGAAAAAATTTTAATTTTAATAATTAATTATTATAAATCTTTAAAAAGTAAATGAAATTGATACTGATCAACTTAAAATCACATCTCATCTGTTTTGTGAAAGTTTGGTTGGTTTAGTAAAAATTGACTAAGTTACACTCAAAATTAAATCCAACTATACTCAATCATATAGCATAAACAAAAAACTCTAAATTTTATACAATATTTTAAAATAAAAAACAGTGTTAATCATATTAGCATCAATGTTAGATAGTTTTGTCAAAGTTTTAATTTATTTGGTTGAAGTTGATCTAGTAACGCTCGTAATTAAACTAGGTTACATTCTATCATAATTAAATTTCATAAAATCCTCCAAAAATATAAAACATAGTATTAATCATGTTAGCAAAATGACTAGATAGTTTGGTGAAAGTTTAATTTAATTTAATTGAAGTTGATCAATTATACTTGAAATTAAACTAAATTATATTTTATTATAAAATATATCTAAAAAGTTGAAGTGACATCAAATAATCGTATATATATATATATATATATATATATATATATATATATATAATATATATATTCTATTAAAGGTCGAGAAAAGTTCACAAGGTTTTACCGATGAAGTTACTCGGGAGAGACATCAATGAACAAGATGAACACTTGTTTGAGTCATTGCTTCACGAACAATTACTCGTACCCAATTATGATTTAAGGGAAGACATTAGCACCAAGGAAGAAACATCATTGAGTTAAGCTAGAGTTGCACTTCTGGACTCCCATTAAAAACCAGCATAAACTAATCCAAATCAATATAAATTAACTTATTTTTCATCAAATTTTATTCCAAATTTCCAAACAAGAATATATAATGATTTATTGTGCTTAAAATCCATGAAATATGGCATTAGTTGCAAAAAAAAAAAAATCAAATCAAATTTAGCACAATTTGAACTTTTATCATGTTGAAAATTGTGAAAAAAAATCATATCGAGCTTCAAAAAATCACAAAACCATCAAATTTAGCAGATTTTTTTGTTATTTTGATAAATTAGTTAAAAATGTTTCATTATTTGATGTGTCACTATAATGATAGTGGGTCTAATTAACATCAAACATTTATTGGACATATTATTATTATTTAATCTTTTTGTCTATTATTTATCTTGGACCGATGTAAGTGTTGGATTGGATTAAATCAGTTGATTGAATGAGCTTGAAAAAGAAAGAAAATGAACGGAGTAAAATAATAATAAAATGATTTGATGACATTTTTGTTATATTGAAAAGTACATGTAAATAACCAAAATCGGTGATTCTCAATGCAAAAACAATTGTAAAAGGCAAGAACTTTGTAGCCAATTTGCTCATAGATTTTTATATAGGCACATATATTTCTCTCACCTATTTTGCATCCATTGTATGTGTCACTAAATTAGCATCTATCTAATAAATGTCACTCAATCATTATTAATTTAAATATTTATGTCATGCTACGAATCTACAGAGGAACTGATGAGTGTGTGTGTGTATATATATATATATATATATATATATATATATATATATATATATATGAAGTGGGACGCACCACATCGAAATGGGGAGCCCCCTCGAATCGTGTCTCCAGTCGTTTGCAAAGTGGTGTTACGGAAATTACGGTCCAAATAAATTCCCAATCTCCAAGCTATAAATTCTTCGCTCCTGATGTGCGATAGCTATTCGCCCGTTCTCCTCTCTTACCCTCCCTCTTCGCCCTTTTACGGGTAATCGAAAGGATTCTTCCTTTGTTGCCTTCTTGCTGAAATCGAGGGCGAAGAGGGGTTCGATTCGGCGGCAGGGCGACGCTGAATTAGCTACTGTTCGTGCGCTTGCGTCCCTGGTAGAATCTACCGTCGCGGCTGGGTTACAGGTAGAGCAAACATGTCTGATTCGTGTATTGTGTTGATTTACTGATCGTTTCGCTTGGTACTGCCCCCTTTACCCGCGCGATTTGGTGGTGAGATTGATATTGTGCGGAGCACATTAGTTCGTGTCTTTTGTTGGTGGAAAACCCTAGTTAGGCCATGTTTTTTTGGCTATTATGTAGGAAGATGATTCGGGATACTTGTATATGGATAAGTTTTGGCTGATCTTATGGCCGAGTTGCTCTGTTAATTTTTGGATCTTGTATATGTTCTTTGATTTATGTCGATGCATTAACTGCAAAGAGGGCTTTTGTGCCAATCGTGATTGTTTGTTCGGAGGGCACCGATTGACATCTTTTGTTGTGGAAAACTCTGGTTAGGTTGTTCCTTTTTTGCTATTATTGCGGGATTTTTTTATGATTCCCGAAACTGGTATCTGGGTAGGCGTTGGATGATCTTATGGCCGATAGAATATTCTTACTTTTTGGATATTGAATGTGCTATTTAATTTAGGTTGATGTATTAACCACAAAGAGGGCCTTCGTGCTGATCGTGATTGTGTGTTTGGGTTTCATAAAGATATTACGAAAAACTGAATTGAATCAAATCAATTCCTACCATTGTGGTTTTTTTTTATATGAAATAAGATGCAGTTCTCATTCCAAGTTGTCACAAAAACAAATTTGTGTATCCGTAGCTTACCTGAATTTTGTTTGTCAGTAACAAGAACCATGATATCTTTCAAAACCTTTTTCTTGAGATGGGGCACCATGCCCCCCAATATGACCATATGATCATTCTAGATTATGAGTGGGTTACAAGACATCTTGAGTCTATATCAGATCTGCAGCCATTACAGGGGTTGTCTACCATATCAATGAGGAAAAGTGCAGCTTGCGTGCGATAAATGATTGCTCTCCATACTTCCAGTTAGGGGAGAGAGTTGCTCTACCATCCAAAATAAGAATGGTGACCTTTTGTTTCTAAAAGACGTGGATCGAAGAGAGAGCATTATGTGAACTTCGTGTTTCTTATACTAACTTTGTGTGGAGCATGACAATATCTTTTATCTAGGCAACAAAGATGTCCACTCCGGCAAGGAAGAGGCTGATGAGGGACTTTAAGCGTCTGCAGCAGGACCCTCCTGCAGGTATCAGTGGTGCTCCCCATGACAACAACATCATGCTTTGGAATGCTGTAATATTTGGGTATGTTTGGAAGGAATCTTTTGTCATGGTTTCTTGGTTAACGTTATGGGTGATTTTACTGATACCTTTTTGTTTTGAACTGCAGCCCAGATGATACACCTTGGGACGGAGGTAGGTATAATGCTACAGTATTTGCTTAAAGAGTTGGAACATCACACTGAGTTTCTATTGTTCTAGAAAATGTCACTTGTTCCTGATCACATCTTTTCTATCAGTCTTTAAGTTTGATGCCTAGCTGATACATTTTGTTGCATATCATGGGATAGATAAAATTGTTATCAATATATTTATTGTTCATTTATGTTCAGAAGTCTTCAAGCATGTTTAATTGTATCCATGCTGATTCTATACTATAACACAATAGGAAAACCAATAGATAACCCTTGTAGATAAAAGTTATAAAGGTGTCCTTTGAGATGAAACCATTCCAGTAATTTGAGTTAAGCATGTGTGATAATATCTACTAAATTGAGTTAGTTCAGTAATGAAATTGTTCCATTTTCCTGGGATGCTCATTTTCAGCTTGTATAATGGATTCTGGTCTTTATTATTCCTATAGTATGTAATTATGTATGCATATATAATAGGCCTATGGAGATTGTATTGTGAAATCCAAACCATATCTTGGGATTGGCCTTGATGCCTAGGCTATGGTTCTTAACTGAAATTGAAGGGACTTTGTCTGAAATCTTGGTGACTACAATGCATCTAGATATCTGGGCATTTAGACTGATCTAGATGAAGAAATAGCCAAAATATGATTTTTTTTATATTTAATTCTGGAATTCTATGCAACATTTATTCATATTCTTCTGATATTCCAAATAACTAAATCTACTATCGGGGTGATATCCTTTTATTCCAAGATAAGGTGTTACAGAATCTGTTGTAGCTCAATTTTCATCAGCCCTTGCATCATGGACAATCACTACAATCTTATCTTGTTTTACAGAAAAAATTTGAATATTAATTAAGAAATCAGTGGAACTCGGAAGGCGTACGACATCCTCATAGATGACTCAAATTTTATATAATCTAAATTGAACTATATTTCCACGTTGACATTTGATTGTTTCTACTTTAATAATCAGCTTGATGTATGAGTTTCAGGAGGGGTTTAGATCCTCCATTGGTCAAGTCGTACTTATGTGCTAATCTATGTTGGCATATCCTGCTTCAACTCATATTATTTTCTTTATTTGGTGGCTTTATACCATATACCTGCTTCCATAAATTCATCAGTGATCAATAACTTGATATTGTTTCTGTATTGTCTGATCTTGAAATATTTGATCTAACCAGGGACGTTTAAGCTGACACTT